AAATCAGCGTCATCCCATAAGGTTGAAACGACTTGAGAAAACAAAATACTACAAGAAATCCTCTAGAGGAAACATACGCCTGAAGTAAGTTTTTTTCAATGTGAAAAATATGTTGCACACTTTACAAACTTCTGCTGTTTGAATGTAAGTGGTTAGTTTAGCATCTTGCAGTTCGAGATGTGCACGGCCAAACATTTCTTCCTCTAAATTCTTTTCCAATAGTAAAAGTCTCCTTTATTTTTAATTTTTCAGAGATCAACACTGATCTTGTTTTTCATCTAAAACCAACTATTTCAGAATGTATTTGTATCAAATCTAAAACACATTCTTAAACAGCCGTTTATTGATTTTTTTTCAGTTAACGGATGTAATTATTTTGTAGTCATTCGTTTCAATTGAGATAGCTTGGACTTTTTTTTGTAGCCTCGACCATTTCTCTTTCCCATGATCTCAGTCGACTTCTACATATCTCTGATTAATATACTTAGCTGCACTTATTATTTATACTTCTCCTACTTCAATTAAAAAAATTGACATTCATGCAATAACTGACAGAAAATATATAAGACTCTTCAACTATCAACATTTAATATTTATTACCGCCGGCGATAATTTAACATGTCACATCTAATTCTAAATGACTGTTAGACATGAAGTATCATGAGTAGTATTTTCTATATCTAATGTTAGGAAAAAAAAGCTTCGTTCAATCTATTCTGTTTTTATCGAAGAAAAGAATTCTAAGCTAAAACAAAAAAAAACTTCTGCTAATTCTATTTTCAAGTAAAGGTACATTTTTTACTACAGGAGATCGTTTGCAAAATTTTAATCTAGTTACTAGACGAATCATATGTTTACAAATATATTCTTTAAAAAAAGTTTAGATAGTTACACATTTTTCATTCGATAGTGATGCGTTTATGTATTACTGCTCTGCTATTATTCCAATTATTACATTCACATGCATACTAAATATGTTTCATCTGTTTTTTTTTGTATTATATGTAATTAACAAGAAATCAAATCAAACTAGATCTGCTAGTGGTTAATATGTGTTAAATGGCACAGTAGATGAGTATTGGAACAAGGTCTTTATACGGTCTGTGTTGCAATTATTTTATAATTTAATATTCGAGTGAAACATTCTTTTTTGTATTATGTATATGAAAAACTTGAGTATCTTAAGCAAGAAAATCATATGATATGAATACATTGTGAAGCAAGATTCAAACTTTTTGTTTCATTACTTAATATTTTTACTCATATATTTGAACTTTGTTCAAACGTACGTAATGTGCTGAAATATTCGAAAAGTTTTTTTTTTTTTATCTAATACTTTAGCCGTTCTCTCGATGTAAATGTCAGTAGTTGTCAAATATTTAATGTTGATAGTGCATAAGCAAGCATCAATAAAAAGATGAATAATATGATCGACTTTCTAGAACAATTGTCACCAATTTACTTTAAATGTTGATCTACAAATCAAACATGATCTCAGCTTCGATATTGTAGTCCATTTCAAGCAGCATGAGAGTCTTTTTGATAGAAAGAAACTCTTAAATTTGCTACCTGAAACAGAAGTCTGACATCTGTCATTAATGAAATTGAGATATTGTACAATTGATCAATTAAAATTGAATTCTCTCTCGGAGTCGAATTAATTTTGAATTAATTTTTCGATCAATTGTGTTTCTTAATTTGATACTAAAACTTCATATTGAAAACCAAATCACAACGAGAAACAATTGATTCCGTATATTAGAAAATGTATACGAGCTAGAAAAAAAAAATAGCAACGAGCACTATTTCATCTTGAGTTGAAAAGATGTGAATATTTTATTTCAATTGATCGTTTTAGATATGCTGCCTATACTTATGATTTTCATGAAGTTTGCACATAACTCATGGGAACACGAGTAATGATCTAGATATCACAGTGGACTCTTCACTGGAAAATCTATCATAAAAACACATTTCATATTGATCTCTCAGATGTGTCTCGAAATTCCTAGCAGAAAAAACCGTGCTACAATTATTCTATGTATGCAAAAATTCTAAAAGTGTTGAGAGCAAGTATTTTATCGGCCGCTAACATGGTTAGTGTTCGATTTTTTAGTAAGAAGAAAAGTCTTGAAACATACAGGAATGTTTGTTTTACGTTATCCGTAAAATTAATTTTTGAATAGAAAAAAAAACAACGAAGTTCTTCCCTTTTTTTTCTCCTACACGGAATGTCCGACCGAGCTCAAAATTTTTTTAATGAATACTCTGGTATAATTAGGGTACGTGCATTCCTTTTTCTTCAAAATGTTCTTCCTACGAACTTCGGCAGTCTTTAAAAAATTAGTCCCATTGAAGAAAACACGTTTTCTGACGGTGTTTCTACTATTTTGTTCCTTCCGAGCTCTAGGAACTACAGTTTTCAAAAGAAAAAAAAAGATACACCCCGCTTTGATCATAGTTGTCATTAAAAAAATTACATAGAGAATTTTGCGCAGGAGAAGGAGGCCCACTTCTGACCATCTGTGACATTTGCGACTATCATATCTTTCTAAAAGAAGCATTTGAAAATTTTAAGTCTATAATAATTTTTGTTTTTACTTTTCACGATCTATCATCCTTGAAAGTTCTATAATCTTTCATCGAGTCGTTTCCGATAAACTTCAGAAAAGAAGGCGGACAATTAAATCTCTTAATGTTTACTATAGAAAAAGAACAAAACAAAACATTGATTATCTAATGTCATCGTACGATACTACTCTACATATCATCTAAAAATAGTTATTCAAATAGTATATTATAGATAATAGAAATTATACAAGGACAAACATCAGTATGAATATATTGCGTATTATATTACTTATAGATAGACCATTATGCAGAATAAATGAGGATATAAAACATGTGAATAATGATAAGAATAATTGCACTAATCATAACTATTGCCTTCTCTTTTTTCTTTTTGTGTGTATTCTGTTCTGTCAGATGCTACAACAGCAGAAATCATTGAAAACATGCGTCAATTTATCGAGTTATCGGCAACAACATTAATTTCTTGAGATAGCTATAATCAATGTAATCTTAGGTCTGACATATGTACCCACGTTGTTATGAAAAATAGTCCATAATATCGATCTAGATATTAATTAATATTATATATTTTAATAGATAAATGTATAAAACTTTTTAGAATACAATATCTTTAGTGAACTATTAGGTTTTTTTTCACATTATATTGAATCATTAAAGATATTTTATAGTAAATAACATTTATGAGCTAAAACATTTTCTTATTACATTGGTAATTGATTTCGATTGTCAATAAGTAAATTAAAGAGACATTTACTTTATATATCTATTATTCTATTAGATAATCCTTGAATTATTTTGTCTATCGAAATATTCATTGATTATTTTAATGATACCAAGTGGTGTATCTCATGCATATTTATCAAGGACATAGTACTGTGATTGGATGAAGAATGCACGCATGTGTATGTTGTGTCTTCCACTTATATTTACAGTCTACCATTCCTATTCATCTTTTCTTGATTGTGACAAGTGAATGAAGCATATGATGTATAGAACTAACATTGATTTTTTTTTGTTCTGGATTCATTTATTCAATGATGACGTATGTTGTAATTTATATGAAATTATTTCAAAGAGATAGACTTAACATAAATGTCCTTCGTTTTTGATTGTTAGCATTGATGAAAAAAGAAAAACAATTGTACACTTATGTATGTATGAGAACAAGTGATATTTTTTTTGAAAAATCTAATAAGACAATCATTAATTATTTGTACATCAGTTTTCTATGTAACAGAGCATAAACGAGCTATAAATCATGAGAAATCTGCATCTTCCATGTCTTATTTGGCTAATTTAAAGAGAATAAGATAGCAAAGAAAACATTCTCATTTCTACTTTAATTATTGATCTTGAGCTGTAAAGATATGGGCTACAGCATGTACGAAAAAGAAAAAATAAGATTAAGATAATAACCTTGATCATAGAAAATCTATTGATATCCTGAAAAAAATATGTTATAGGCTTTGTTTCATTTTACTTGATCCATACTGCTTTATCATCGAAGTACTTCATGTTGGTATTTACAATTTTTTTATCATATTGTAATCATTATCTCTAATTTTGTTTTTCTTTTGTATAGAAAATAAGAAGTTTGATCATTACCATTGACATACGATTGTCATTCTTTTTATGACGAGCTTTAACTTTGTTTTGTTCGATTGTTACTATTCTCAAAAAACTATTCAGAAAGTAATCAGTTGTTTGCATACATTAGATATATGACAACTGTTCTAACAATTTACTTGAATATAGAAGACATGATTTTCTATGTAGTATCATTGACTTCGATCTTTGACTAATATATATAATTTAGATAAATCTCATATGATTGACTTTTAATAAGTTTAATTTTCAATAAGAATAAATTCGTCTTGTTATCTTCTATCAATAGAGATCTATCTATTCTTTTGTCGGTTTTTAAAAAATATATATATATATGTGTGTGTGTGAAAGAAAGAAGAGATAGTAATTACATGTCGTTTCATGTCGTTGGATGTGCCTCGAGTCTCATACGAACAAAAAACAAACTAGACCAACATTAGTTTTCTTTCTCTGAATCTTTATATACGATAATCATAAAAACGAGTCCGAGAATCGAATTAGTTTTTTTTTTCTTTGTATAATATGTATGTATATGATGTGTCAAGGATATAGTTGTGCGCAAATCGATCAATAGATTTGGGAAAAAATTTCTCGTTGTCATTGAAAAACAAACTTCATAATAGTAATAATAAAAAAAAAGAAGAAGAAAAGAAAAAGAATTTCGATGATTTCTTTGTTTATTTTAGATAAACATTAATCTGACAAAAAAAAATCTAATGAAAAAACGAAAGAGTCGATGGTGACCAAAATTATTGTCAATGATATTTTTATTTTCTCGTATATCAACATGGCTATTCATAGAAATGATAGCCTCATTAAGTTTAGTCGTATTAAACTTGGCTATACCTATTCTAATGATATTTAGTTCATTTCGTAATGTTGTAAATTTTTATTTATCAAGTACGGCATTATCAAGTTCATTAATTAATGGTTTATATTTATTTTATCTTATTCAAACATTTCGTTCAAAAGTTATATCAGAAATCAATTGTCGAGCAATATATTATCTACAATCATCATGTATTGTTATACTCGGTATGATTTTTATTAAACAAAATACTATTGAGTAGTTTAAAGTTCTTGTAGCATGTTATAATTATTAAGTTGATATGTTATACAAGGAAAAAAAAGAAATTAAACAACTAGCTCGTTAAGATATGTTGAAAGGAGATAAATGCAAGTTATTTTAACTTAAAATTAGCTTACTATTACACATCGAGACAGAAAGAAAATGTGTATTATAATGTATGATCTATGAATTTAAGTTTTTCTTGATGCATTTGTTAATAATTATGTTTGCTAGAAATATCTTAGAATAGAATCTTTAACATATATAATTTATTAAAATCGTCGGAAATAATAAATAAATGAAAACTAGTAAAAAAACAATAATTTCTTCTATTCGTTATAATTAGAGATAATCACAAAGTGATATTCGGAAATTTTATATATTTCCGACATTCATTCAAATAAATAAAATCTAATATCTAATAAACTATAAGAATATTATGATAGAAATTAAGTCAAATAGAAGTTTTATTCTTTACATAATTTAATAATATACATCAACAATAATCGATAAAAACCAAACAAAAAAATAAAATTCATTTGATTATTATTAAATCGAGTACTATTCTACATATACTCAAAAATCGAAAATCCAATTAATACATCTTCAATTTTGTTCTCTATATAACACAATTCTTTCTTCATCATTACTATTATCTCTCAGCTGTAGATGTCAAAAGAACATTTATTACTCTTGGATAATAATCTGTTCTATGTTTTTCTCATGAATTCGAATTGATTTTTTATTTAATTTCAAAAAAAAAAAACTATTAAAAATTTTTTTTTTTTGCTGTTTATTATTTTAGCTTATACAATAGTTGCAATTCATGCAAATTTTATTTTATTTTTATTTCCATCGTCATCATCATCATCCGATGTAAATCATACAAATCGTACATGTTTAAAATCATGTGGTATTTGTTTACGAAGATTTTTTCGTCGATTTAGTTTTTGTGCTGTTCTATGTGTATGGTCATTTTCATTTACAGCTACAATACCATTACTTTATTCAATTGATTCAAATGAAAAATTACCTAAACCTGTTTATTGTCCTGGTACAACACAAATAAGTTATCTTGAAGAATTATTTAATCGTAATCGTTTTATACAAACAATTTTATTTAATTTAATACCATTAATAATGAATCTATTTTTATCATTAATTGCTTTATTAAAATTATTATATGATTGTCTTATTTATTTATATTTACGTTTAAAAATGTCAAAATGTTTCTCATGTCTAAAAAAATCTTCTTGTTGTCAAAAGAAACCACAACAACAACAACAACAACAACACACTACATCTAATTCAACGCCATTGTTATCATCAATTGATGTTATGGATAATAATAATATACAATATGATATTAATTTAATACAAATTATAGAAACAACAACATCAAATAATGAAATAATTCTATCATCATCAAATGTGACAATACAATCTTGTGGATATTGGTCGTCAAAATCATTTCTTCGATTTTTACTTGTATTATCATCATGTTTACTAGCATGTATTTATCCAATTGTTATGCGTTTTTATCTTATCTATTTTTCTGTTCTTGTTCCATTGATATTTGCTGTATTGAATTATTCTTTGGAACAATTAACATCAACACAACAAAAAACAATTATGGAAAATCATGCTACAAATTTAACAATACCACCAGGAATATCTTCTACTGATACACAAATATCCGTAAATATGAATATTAGTGAAACATTACAAACAAAAACATCTAAAAAACATGAAATAGATAATTGTTCAAATGAACAATTTGAATTACAACCACCATTAATAGCAAATCTATTAAATGAACGAGATGAATCATTTGTTACATTAACAAATTCATCAACAACATTGTCTACTGATCATCGATCAATAATTGGAGACAAACAAAAATATTTTTCCAATCGTTTATATGAAAATACTCAAAATATGTTTCTAAAAGAAAATAATTAAATACTTGATTTTTCTTCTTCTTCCTTTTTTTTTTTTATTTTTGCTGAAATTTTACATAGAGTAGCAAATTAAATATATATATATATATATACAATAAAAAAAAAAAAAAAAAAAATACTTCAACAACCATCTGTTTCACAAAGTTCTTCCTGTGTTGTTTTAAGTCGTTGTTGTTTAAGAAAATTTTTTAATGGCACTTTTTTTCTTCCTGTATATCGTATATTTTCCATTAAAGCAAAATGTCCCAATCGATTGTAACTATTAGTAAATACTTTGGTTTTTAATTCTTGTTGATTATCATTTTCAATATTATTCTCTTCATCTGTTTCATGAATTTCTGTTAATGTAACGGGTTGAGTTCGAAAACGAAGACTATGACGAGAACGTGATGGTTGATTGTTAAGTTTTGATGGTGGATATTCAAGCATTATTGATGGTATTCTATCAAGATATGTTTTTGGATATCGTTCATCAATAAAATGTTCTGTATTTAATGAAGATGTCGAATCATATTGATGCATATCAATTGATGATGACTTATTAATTGAAAATTCTGTTGATGTCATAGTAGCCATTATAGTCGTACAACTAAATAACTATAAAGATAACAATAAAAGAAAAGTTTATCTTTATATAATAACATAAAATATTTAAAGGACAAAGGTCTTACTCTTATATGTGAATCAAATATGCACAAGATGATGAAAAGAAAATGATAAACAAAATTCTATACTGTAGTAGATCAAATGAAATTTTGATGATAATATCTTTTATCGTGTTTTGTTCTTTATACTTGTCGTCAAATATACGTTTAGTTACTCGCTCTCTCTCTCTCTCTATATATATATGTGCTTGTCAGACTTGCAAATAGACTAGAATATAGACGGAGATATGTATTAAGGAATCAATCAACCAGTAGTTGTCGTTTCTTTTTTTTTTTTTTATCATACAAACGATTGTTGAGTCAATAGGTTTTATCATATGCTAAAAAGAAAAGAGAGGAAGAGAGAGGAAAGAAAAGAGGAAGAAAATGGAAATGACGTATAAACTTAGAAGTTTTTCATATACCGATATTAAACATTAGGATTAATTTTCTCACCATCTCTACTTTTCTTTTACTACAATGTATAGTTAACATTATTTATTTAGGATATTATATCTTCCCCTTTTTTTTTTGTTTCTCCTTTAAAAATGTTAACGTCTTACATAGGTGTAGCAAAATACAGATATAATCAAACTAAATAACATAGAACAGAAAGTTGTAATCTATGTGTTCTTATTTTTTATTATTTGAATATACTTACGAAGAAATGTTATATGATCAACAAATGCTTTTGATATTTCTATAACGTCAGAGATTGACAAACATTAGATGTCGATTAATATATATGTCTTTCAATATATACCACAGTAAACTTTTTCTTTCAATGAGAAAATAACGAACAGAACGAGCATATGATTTTAATGATTCATATATATTTGATATCGAATAACATGTGCTAAGTATAGAAACATAGGTAATTATCGTAAACAAACAAAATAATGGTTTTTTTTTGATATTATTCATTATTTGATAGTTACGCAAGGATTATTAACTCTCTCCCTAATATTATACCCTGACTCAGATGTGGAGGTTTGAAATATAGACTCTTTGTCCTGCTTTTTGGACTTAATAATGAGTATCAACAAATAACATTCATAATCATATCTTCTTTTTCTATTTTTTTTTAATATCTGAGAGCAAATAAACTCAAATTTTCATATGTACTTCATGACCGATATATATATATATAACAAGCTTTTCACTATGTGTCCAATTATTTCTCGAAGTTTCTATTTTCTATGTTGATTTAGAATTTCTATACAAGAATAAATAGACTCAATTATTGCTTCTTGTTTTTTTTTATTGCTACAAGATAATCTACTTTCTATGCTATCAAAATCTTTACCCTGGTGAATAGTACTATTTTATGATACTATAAATAGAACGAAACATCTTATAGAAATTCAATGAAAATGAATGAAATCTTTCGTCTATGATTAATTGAACATCTGATTAATACACAACAAAAACAATCTAATCTTACTTAGATTTACTAAAATATAGTTAGTTTTCTAAATCTTCTTGTTACGAAATTTCACAACTATGATAAATGACAATTTTTCGATATGTTACATCAGTCAATAGTCTGTTTTACATCACTGACATCTGGAGTGAAAGCAAAAAAAAGAAAAGAAAAAGCGTATAAATCATCTTTTTGATGACTCATTAACATGTTTCTTTTGATCAATGGTGATGCAATATAATTATATATTATGTCCATAATATATATATATATGTGTATAAACTATTCCAACTAAAACCAATTTATATTCATAATGACAGATATAACATCTGAAAAAGAACTTTTTAATATTAATAATGATAAATTACTCAATAATGAAAAATTACTTGCTAGTGAAATAAAAAATTTAGAAGCTATAAGTGATCAACAATTAGATTCATCTTATCCATTTATTGTACGTATTGATGGAGTTTCATTTCGAAATTATACACGTGGTTTTAATAAACCATTTGATCAACGTATGACACGAGCATTTATTCGTACATCAGCTGATCTATTACAACGTTTTAATCCATTAACAATTTTTTATCAATCTGATGAAATTTCTCTTGTTTTTGATGGATATTTAACAATTAATGCCATAGAAAAAAATCCTCGTGAACATATGTATTCTGGTCGTATACAAAAACTTGTTTCTGTATTAGCATCATATACAGCAGCTAAATTTAATAAATATATTAATGAAGAAGATTGGTCTGATATAGAAAATGAACATGTACGTGAACGTCTTATATCACATTCAGCTTATTTTGATGGTCGTGCTTTTTCTGTACCAAATCAATTTGCTGCAATGGCATCAATTTATTGGCGTCATCAATATGATACATTAAAAAATGCTACATTAACCTATGCATTAAGTTATTATTCTCAAAATTCAATATTAGGTAAAAATACATATGAATTACGAGAATTACTTCGTACAGAAAAAAATTGGGATATGTTAAATGAAGCACCAAAAAATATTATCTATGGAACATTTTTAAAAAAAGAATTATATGATTTAGAATGTATTGATCGTAAAACACAACAATCTATAATTGCTAAACGTAGTCGAATACGTATTGGATCATTTGAAATGAATAAATTATTACCAACAAATGAAGAAAAAATAAAATTTATTATGAGTAAATATTGGAATGATTCTAATACAATTATTGATAATATTGAAATACCAAATTGGTGGATGAAATATTATCAAAAACAAGATATATTAACAACGGATTAAATCATATAAATAATGACAAAAGACAAAACTATTTTTATATTTTGAATAAAATAAAAGAACAAAAATTAGAAAGTTCTACATTTCAAAAACAGTCAATTTCCATATGTTAAAACTATTTTAACGTATTTATATCTCATGTTTAAAAAGTATAACAAAAATTAAAGTCGATCGAGTTCAACATGTTTTCAACACAATTAGCTCTAACTACTTGAGAAATATCCAGGTCATGATAATCATCGAATACAAAAAAAAACAAATCGTGTATTTTCAGGGTGATTATCTTATTTCAATTAGACAATTTCAGAAAGAATATCAAATTATGATTCAATCGTGTGTGAAAATTTTGCACTTAACAAGTTCTAATCATGTGAGAAATATGTAAGATGTGCATATAGAAAATGTATCTTCAAGACAATACATTCAATTCTAAATGAAAAATTTCATTTAGACTATTTAAGTATAGTTTAACTAGGTGGAAAACTTTGGACTTGACGGACTTTAACAAGAGTTATGACACTTGTTTACGTTCTTCATGTAAGCAAGAATGAAAGTAATTGAAATATTTTTATTCTTATCTAAGTTATCTATGTACTCATATACAACGCTTGATCATTTTTCGTGTAATATTTCAATTTGTTCTAGAATGACTAAGATCTTTATTTAATAATAGATCTACGAACTATATGTGATAACTGTTTTTTTTTAAGTACTATTGATTTCGATGAAGATCAAGGACATTTAATTTGATGAAAGAATTTTTTCATTATTGTAAAAGATATCCGAAAAATGCTGAAATAATTTTCAAATTTAGTGTTCTTATATTTAACAAAAGTGAATTCTTTGCAACTTAGACAGATTATTGTAAATCATTAGTACTAAATAAATGGTTGAGTTTCAGGTCTATAACCTTTTTCTTTTTGTTATTAGTTTTTGAGATCATACAGTGGTAATCATCATAAGAGTGTTTTTTTCTTTTTTTATTGGTAGCAGATATATGAAACTCTTGTGAAGTATCATAGAAGAAAAGACAACGAAAGAAATATAAGGTTTCATAATGATTAAATTCCACTAAAAAAACAAGAGTAAAATGGAAATGGATATAATTATTTAGTATTTCTTTATATCAATGAGTAATAAATATCATACATGCATGATGAAAAATACTAATCGAGTACGAAGTCAATCAAATACGAGAAAATTGATAAGTTGATATATGATTCTTTCTTTTATTTGAAAAATTTGTTATATGAGAAGAATAGGAAGATTGATAAAGATGGCATGTGATATTGTTTGTTACAGTTTATCATGCATAGTAAACTTCGCATTTATTTAGTACTAAGTATGAATAATAATTTGCTAAAGTTAAAAAGACTTTACTTTTACTAAATGAATTTATTGGACAACCTTTAGATCGCTCTGGACGTTTATCTATTTCAATAGGCATATTGTTACTGTTGCAATTGTTGTTTTTAAATAAAAATCATTCGGAAACTTTTTGAATATTTTCTTTCAGAAGCATCACAATTAATATTCTCTCAATGCTTAATAAATTTCATATTGTAGTGTTGAAATCAATTCAGAAACAATCTTTCAGTTTCTTTTGTATTTTATCAATCTCGATAGAAGTACGAGTATCAATATGTTTAGTT